TAAAATATTAGAAAAATAAAAAAATTATTTTTCATATTAATATTATATAAAATAATTTAGTTAAATAATTAATACAATTTAAATTAATTTTTATTTTTATATAAATTAATAATAAAAAATACAATAAACGTACGTCATCCTAAAATACCTTCTTTAGTTCATTTTATTATGCACTTAACATCGAAAAAGATTTATCTTTATTTACTGCTTTCTATCGTCATAATATACAGTGGATGATTTGAAATGGTGCGTTGATATGGTGGGCAACGATAGGTGCCAGAGACGCGTTTCTTTATGGGCATCAATGACACAAAATAAAAATTTCCACCAATAAAAAAAATCAATGACACAAAATAAATCTAGAAACAGAAGTTTCCATTTAAGCAAGGGGACCAATCTGTAATGACTCTTGGTGGATTTTGGTGGCTGCCTCCAGATCTGGTTTCGGTGGCTGTTTCATGTTGGTTCGCATGAGATCTGTTGGTTTTATGATCGATTTTGGACCTCAACTTCCAGATCAACAGTGACCTAGGCTCAGCAAACGACGGCGATACGCGGAGACGGAAGAGGAAAAGAAGAAAGGAAGATAAGAAGAAGAAAGAAGAACGAGCTGTTCCAGAGCTACTAGGCCAGAAGGCAGAAGGAGGGAGGAGAAAGAAGAGGAAAAGAGGGATTTCTGATGGACTGATTTCCTTTCTTTATTTTTTTTTATTTTTTTTTACATTAGAGATGTGCTGTAGTGCTGTTTAACTATACAAAATTTGGCATTTCATGTTGTGCTTAATTGGTGGTCGTTGCAGCAGTCTAAGAGGACTGTCAATGACTTGCACTTGATCAGTGATTAGATTTTATCAACAGTAAGATACTAAGTTAACTTTTAATTTTTAATTATTGTTCTTGTGAAAAAAAAAAAAAAAACTATACAAAATTTGAAATCGTAGCCTTACCTTAAAAATAAAGTTTTCTAAAATGGTGGGTACAATAATATTTTTAATAAAAAATTTAAGTTTTGATGATATCAATAAATGAAAATAGTGTTTTTTTTTCAAAATTTTATACATAAAAGACACCTCTAAAAATATTTATATTTTAATTAATATTTTTAAAAATTAATAGTTAAA